TGGCGGAATTTCCCGACTTTTCTCTCCACCTTTTTGACGTCTCAAACTTTCAAATGGAGTCTTCAGCTAGGTTTCCAGAGATAGTTGCGACTGATTTACCCGAGATGAGGGAGAATAATCACAACTAGAACTGTCAAAGAAGCAAAAAAAACCTGGGTGTGCTGAGCGAAGCGAAGTGAGAAAGGTTGAGGAGATTCCCGAGACGAGACGAGCTTGACGACGTCCTTTACCGATTTTATGCAGAGGCAAGACTGCAAAACGGAAATAAATACGAGCCAGATAGCCTTGCTGTTATGCAAGGCTCCTTAGACCGCCATCTAAAGAACAACGACAAGAGTTACAACATACTACGAGTCCGTAAGTTCGCCATGTTCATCTGCTTTTTCGCCATGTTCATCTGCTTTTGGATGCTATATAATTAATAGGCCTACGGCCTCGTCCAATTTTGGCTGTCCTCGGAATTTTTCTCATCCAATTATTTCCAAATTGGACAGCATGTAGTCATATTACATATACAAATATACTTGGTATTACAAGATATGATCTTTAATTATTTCATTTTATTTACTTCAGGTTATTTATTGTAATGTAATGTAATGTAATTTTCTATTTATATAGCACCAACTCCGCCTAGCTAAAAAGCTACTTAAGTTACATCTTCCAAGAAAAGCAATGTCACTTTCAAAATCATATTTGTAGAGTCGTTATAGCCCTGATCCGTTAATCGTCTTGTCAACTCCAGCATATTATCCTGCCTGTACAGCCAACTTATTTGCCTCATTCACACTTAACACGCGCTGTACATCTGCAGTGATCGCTGCACTCGTGAACAACTCTATACCGTGAAAGTCTTGATTTTTTAGGCTTATAGCATATGTTTCTTTTTTCTCTGAGGTTCCTCATAATTCCTTGTAGCGGGAAGTCGTCATAGGTTGCCGTGTCTTCTGTTTGGCTATATTGAGGACGAAGATTTTCCTCGTTCAGGATAATTTCGTCCTCTTCCGGATCGGTAGAAAAGGACCCTATGACATCATGCTCGTCTCCAGACCTCTTATCAAGTGCGCCAACGGAGGACGAAGCCCTCACAAGCAGGAAAAACATGAAGAGAACTGTAAAGGTACTGGGCTGTAAGGTAGAGAAGGGCAAAGAGTACATTAAGTATATATACGTGGTTGTTTCTTAACGTTAACTTTTATAGTGAAATCCGTTTCAAAAAAATTGTCGATTCGAGCCAAAATGCTTGTGAAATGTAAAAAAAAAAAAAAAAGAATTTCTGCAATGACGGAGAAAACTGGAAAAATATAGAATTGTGTAAAAAAACAAAGATTTTCCGCAAGACTTGCATAAAAATTTATTTACGGTTGCCATGGCGACGCATGGACACACAATTGACATATCAAAATTATTGATAAGGATGTATGAACTGGCCATAGAAAGTTTCAGCATCTCAGAATAAATCGTCTTTTTTGAAACTTTGAAATAAACTACGGGGCGGTGGTAGCCACCCCTCCCCCCTTCCTCCTTGTACGTCCGAGGGTTGAAATGAAGGACACGTGTCGATTGTCGGTTAGCCAGCAGATTTGACCGACTTTTTATATCAACATTTAACCTGGGAAAACTTCAGGCTGATTCTAATGACAAATGTATTTGAGGTTATAAGGTATGATCTTCGTTTACTTTATTTATTTCATTTTTCTATTTAGTTACATCTTACAAGCAATTTTATTTTACGTCAGTCTCATAATTATAGTCCTGATCCGTAATTCGTCTTATCAACTCGACAATATTATCCTGCCTGTACAGCCAACGTATTAGGGTCTCCGAACACACTCTTTACATAAGCAGTCATCGGTGCACTCGTGAAGAACATCTCCATTCACGTGAACTGTTTTTCCAGGCTGATGGCATATTTTTCCATTACTTTTTTTTTCTCTGAGGTTTCTCATAATTCCTTGTAACCGGAAGTCGTCAAAGGTTGCCGTGTCTTCTGTTTGGCTATATTCTGGACGAAGGTTTTCCTCGTTCAGGATAATGTCGTCCTCGTCCAGATCGGTAGAAAAG